GGCTCACAGGGTGCTCCAGCAGGGCTGACTGCATGCTGGAAGACATCTGCTGGTAGCTGTATGGCATGTGGAAAGCATCCCAGGAAAAGCCAGCTTTGTAGAAGGTTGGGGTGCTCGCTGTGTTAGTGCAGTCCTTGATCTGCAGCCCTGGCATGGCCATCTCTGAGTTTGCAAAGGAGAGGGACAGGGGGGTGTCACACCATTGCCTGAAGTTGGGCACCTGTTAAAAAGTTCCCCATCTTGCCTGACCTCAGGAGTTGCAGTTGGTAAATTCTCCTTGATTCAAATCCTCATTCCCCAGGTAAAGTTCCCATCATGACTTTGATTTCAGTCTGAGGAAATTTTATGGCACAGAATGCCAAGGAAATTTTCTGGCTAAGGGAATACTGAGCCCCCTGCTAGCCCTCTTTGATGAGGTGTTTGAACAAATATCCTGTGGGCACCTGCCTGAACCCACATAGCACAGAGCTGCATTAATGTGGGGAGGTTCATTCACTGGGAATAACAGCACAATCCTTCATTCTTCCTGGTACAGACCAGAATTGTAAAGGGAAATATAGAATGCTCCTGATGAGCCCTGCCTGTGGCAAGTTTGACCATAGATGTCAAAATAAAAGCTCTCATTTACTGAAAATCTAGGTCCAGTTTTAGGGGCTCCATAACCAGCTCAGCCCTGACCTCTTCTGCAATTGGGGTTTTGGGTAGCCAACCTTGAGCTGAAGGGCCTGGCAGCATCCTGCTCAGGTACTGCACAGGGACACTCTCTTCTTTCAGTTCAGGTGGGTCCTTTTCTTGTTTTGGAACCACACATCCCAGGTCCTGTTTCTTGATGTCCTCTGGTGTCCTGTCTCCTGTGGCTGTAAAGAGCAGTGTCACACTTATGTCACAGTTATGTCACTCTTGCTGCTACCAGAAGAGTCTGTTTAGGTGAGTTTTGCACTCATGTGTGAACTCCTGCCTGGACTCAGCAGCCCATGCTCAATTCCCTAAGGAAGTGCAGAGTGATGCAATCAGCATTCAAGGTCTGCCCATTGCTGAGGAAGGGAAATTCCAAGCAGGATGAGATAGGCAAGGCAGAGGGGGGCAGGATGAGATGATAGAATCCTTGATACCTGATACAGTTAGAGAAAACCAACCCTAGAATTGTGTCTGTAAGAATAATTTCCCTATTTAAAACCATTTCCATTTGTGTGGGTAACTAACAATCACTAACTTATTAACCTCCCCACCCCTCTCCTGAGAGAGCTGGGTATTGTTAACTTGGATTTATGGACAGCCAAGTGGGGAAGCAGAGGGGGGAGGCAAGTCCTTATGCACTGAGCCTTGTCTCCTCCCATACTCCCATTTATTTCTCCATGCTTGTCCCAGCCTTTAAAGACACCAACCAACCCTTGCTAAACTTTGTACTAAGAATCTAAAATCTTAAAATGTTGGACAGAGGTCCAACATGTGTATCCTTTCTGCTGGAGATGGGATAGACCTGATGAAGGACAATATTTATCTCTTGTCAAAACCTGCCACTGCACCAGAGACACAACAAATGGCTGAAGGATGATGGCAGGAATGGAAATTAAAATGTTACCTCCTTTCTTTTTTATCAAACTTATCTCAGGGCTAGACTCTAATTTGATAGCCAGGGCTAGAACAAAGGGTAAACTGATCCTAAATTTGAATAAAGAAAATTTGAATGGTGCCTGAAGGAAGGAGATAATTACCCTGGCCTTGCCACTGCTTGGATGGCTGTGGGAGAGCAGGAGCAGGAGCAGAGGGAGCACAGCAGGGATGGCAGAGCTGTGTTGAGTGGTGTTAACAGCAGGCAGAGATGGTAACACACAAGGTAGAGAAGATGCAGCCCAGAGGGAATGTGGGCAGTGAACACAGGAAACCAGAGGTGGAGGTGGCAGGGTTGTGAATTTGTAGAACACTAACAACCCATTGCAAGCTCTTTTCCCAGCTATAAGTGGCCTGAAGTTGGTCATTTTTCCCAAATGTGACCAACTCCACACAGCATCTTACAGCTCAAATCTCCCCAGCAACCCAGCAGGAAGCAAAGGGAGGATCAGAGTGGATTTGGTGCAGAGAAAGGACACACAGTAAGGGATCAGCTTGCCCTTACACTGACATCCCTGTGTGGATGCTCCTTAGCTCACTCATCCTGCTCCCTTAGCTGCCTCCTGAATGATTGATTTGCCTTGGTGTGTTCCTACAAGCCCAGGGGATGGACAGACTCACCAGTGAAGGCAGAGGGGACTGGACCCCAGGGGAGTACTGGCAGGTCATCTTCCACACAGCGGGGCTGGTGATAGGTGTGAGCCTTTTTGCTCTTCACCAAAAAGGAACGTGGCATCTTCCATTCACCTTCTGGGATGAAACACAGAAAAACACCAGCTAAACCTCTGTGGCTTGGGGAGTAAATTCCCACTTCTTTCAGATTAAGTGCACTCTGTAAAAATCCCACTTCGCAACCTACCCCAGGCTGAGGCAAAGGATTACAGAAAAAGAAACAGGGACAGGCTTAACCTGAGATCTGAGTTACAGACCAACTGTCTGTGGCAGGCATGTTGGATGCCAGGACCTGTCTCTTGCAGTCCTGCTCTGACTTGTCATTTTTTCATTTCTGATCTTCTCCTCCCCGGCAGGACAGAGGGAACCACAGGTTAGAGATCCCCACTGGAGAAAGTCTGAGCCTTTGTGCTGCATCTGCAAGGGCCCTGTCCCAAGCCATGGCCTGGGCTCTACTGTGAAATTATTATATAAACAATAATGATAGAAACTATACCAATAATAGGGGAAAGACAGGGAGATCCCTGCAGAATGGTGTGTGGAGGGTTTCCCTCTAGCTTGAAAAGTTGGAGTTCTGGGTGACAAACAAGAGAGCAGAGGCAGAGCAGGAGGGCTGGCTGAGAAGTCACCTTTTGGACCCAACTCAAATATTGCAGACCGTTGAAAAGGCGGGTTAGGGACAAACATAAAATGCTGAAATTTAATCATACCAAATTCTCTTGCAATGAATGTGTTATCTCTGCTACCCAGAACCCAGCCCACCCTGTGCCCACTCCCTGGGGCTGGTAACTGCTCTGATGGAGGCAGGGTGGCAACAGGACTCAATGTTGTGAGCACTAATATCAGCTGGTGCTTTATTTGCATGTGTATTTGCATTTTCCCTTGTAATTGTTTGGGAGAGAGGCACTAAAAACAAATCTTGCTATATTTCATTTGAAAAGTCAGCATTTAAGTCCTGACTCTCTGTTGACTGGAAACTGTTATTAAGTTTTGTTCCTTCCTGAGAGCAGTTCAGTGGAACTTATTTATTTACTAAAGAAAAATCTCCCCAAATCCATAAAGTTTGCACCTGTTAAGCAGGAATGATATGAAATGTCTGCGTAAGGACAGAGCAGTCCTGAAATCCCAAGCAGGCAGGGATGGAAAGGTCTGTTCCCCAGAGATCAGAAGTGCCTGTGCTGCCCCTTCATGCTAAATATAATTACAGAGCCCAGTGGTGTTTTGTTTAAAGGTCTGAGGGCGACATTTACAGAGGTGCCTAAAGCTGTGGGGTTGCCACAGCCAGGTCTGCTGGGGACAGGGGGATTGCTAGGGTGCCCCCAGCCCAGGTGCCTTTGGATATGCTGTTGTCTTTTTAAATCTGGTCCAGGATTCCCACTGTTCCATCTATGAATGCAGGGATAACTCTTGTTGGCTCTAACAATTTTTTTCTTCTGAAATGACTCACCTGTTTTTCTTCATCTTTTTCCAAGAAATTTACGTCTAGCTTGAGATGAATAATAGAAAACTGAGGACAAGAGCAGACTTGTAATTTAATTCTAGAAAAAGGACAGAACAGCACTGAGGAGGGACCATAAGCAGGCCCTTGAGGGAAGGGTCACTGAAGCACACATTACTGCTTTTTGCTCTCCTGGAACTCTCTAATGAGGTTTATTCAAAGATCTGTAAAGAGTCCCTGCCCAGTGAAAAGCTGCAGGCACAGAAATAGCTCCAGCTCAAAGACAAGGCTGTTCTGCAGTGGGTTATGACCCTTCAGCAGCTCTGCTCAGCCCCTGTCCCTCCCATTCCAGCAGCACTGCTGAGCTCCTGGTCAGTCCCAGCTGAGCCACCTGTGCACTGACCCAACCCTGCACTATACACCTGCCCCAAGTTAAAGTGCTGCCTCAAACTCTTTAAACCTGGAATTTCCACTCTTGTCCCAGGGGTTTTCCCATGTGGTGGGGCAGCACTGTGTCCACAATGAGGGAATTCACACCAGGAAACTTCAGACATCAGATTCCTCTGCCCGAATTAACCAGCTCCTGGTTTCCCTGGGCAGAGCCTGCATCCAGCTGTGCCTGCTGGAACAGCCACTCTCCCTGCCCTCAGGCTGGAGAACCCTGCAGAATCCTGTGGCAGCAGCTGGGCAGCTCAACCAGGTGAATCAGATGGGAGATGCGTGGTTTAAGCGATCCAGCAAAGTTTTGTGCCAAGTAGAGACAGCACTAAATACAGCCCCTCTTTTCCAGTGGTGCCTGAAAGCAGATGTCCATGAAGAAAAAGAATCTTTCTGGATGTGCTTGCCCCAGGCTGTGTAAAAGTCAAATTTGGTGCAGTATCCTGAGTGCTGATAACGACTGAGCACAACCATCCTCAATGGACTGAACGTTGCAAAAGGAAGTCACCTTCCCCCACCCCATTTTACAGAAAAAAAAGGAACTGGGAGCCCAAAGCAGAGTTAATTAACAACTGCACTGGACTGGCTTTGTGATTCACACAACCAGGCTAGAGGAAAGCTACAAGCAGAGATTGTGGGAGGAAAAAGGACTGTTCTTCCTCGAAACTCCAGATTATCTGTAGCAAGAGATCTGCAGCTCCTAATGGCTTACTGTATTTCCCAGGAAAAGCAGAGCTGTGGACCCTGCCACCAGCTACATTTTAGAGTTATTGAAGCTTCTGACAGAATTTAGCTTCAACCTTTTGCTGAAAATTAAACTTTCTTTTTTTGCTCATTTCAGCCCCTGTGGCAGCTGTTTCTACCTGGACTGGTGGTAAGTGCACAAGGGAATTTATTGCTTGGGCAGGAGTGCCCATTCAAAATTGAAGTGTTCTGGCATTTTTATTAATTCAATATAGGATATAAAACCAGCAGGTGGCTAAAATTGGCATTCTTATTAGCCTGCCATTCATGCAGCTGTATAATAATGTTCTAATGTGCCTCGAGAAAAAGACAGCTGCAGCCAAGGGGAAAAAAGCAGCTTCACTATTTTGGGTACCTCACCTGAAGCACCTTAGAAGGGGTTTCTTTCACCAGTTATAAATTCCCCAGTCAGATCTGAAAGCAGATCCAGCATTTGCATGTTCAAACTCAAAGTTCCTCCACCGTCAGCAACACTTTTGGATGATTTTGCAGAGTATCCCAGGTAAAACTCTAATGGGACACTGAAACATTGCAAGTGGGATTGTTTTTTAGTTTGGGGGTGGCTTCTGACTCCAGGATCCTCATTTTTCTGGATCCCCTGTTCCTCATGAAGCCCTCACTCACTTCACTGCACAACAGCTCTCAGTTCCCAAACCCACAGCACTGGTCCTTGATGTAATTTAGAGGAAATTCAAACTCTCAGTGAATGAGGTTATGGAGCCTTTGGTGGGGACAGTGTTTGCAGGATTGTGCCACGCTGAACCCAATTTGCAGTGAAAGCTCCATTCTAAAGCTGACTTGCATTTTTCTCTAAATTCAAGTAATTCTGTTTTCAGATTTCCAAGGTTAATTGTAGAGATTAAATGCTTTTTCTTGTTACATTCAGTGAAACATTAAATTTTAACTGGCATTAGAAGACTAGAACTCACTAATAGTACATTACACCACATCTTCACATAAGTTGATGAGCATACAAAGTTTTAGGCTAAAAAGCACTTTTTCCTTTCCATTATTTAATTGATATTATTTATATTTACATCCTAATATTGCCCTTTTTGTGCTTTTTTTCCTTCTTTTTCTTTTTTTCTGGAAAAAGTGAAGCTTCCAAAAATACAGAATAGTTTCTCTTTCAAAAGATTACATTTTAGAAGAAAAAAAGTGCAAAGTAGAACACAATGTGTCTGTGGTTTAAGAACCCAAACAAAATAAAATAAGAGGTTTTATGGACTCTTGACTCTTTAAATATAAAATCAAATTTGAAAGAATTTCAGCTCTTTACAACAAAATTAATAATTTCTTCACTAGTCCACCATTGCAAAATCAAATGTACTTGGGGCAAGTAATTTACACGCCACTTTTTATTGGAAAAATTAACAGGACATTTTTAATTCCTGTGGTAAGACTGGATAAATGGACATTGTGGCAGGGGCAGCAAATTATGGTGGAAATTTTGTCAAAGAAGTGGAACAGAAATGCTGGTATAGCTGTAACATCCAGAACAAAACATATTTAGACATTAATTGCAGCACTTGTTCTCTGGAAAGCTCACATAGCTCCCTGAGATGTTGGGAATGCCACTGGCTCAAGGAAACTTTGCCTTAGGGTTCCATGGATGGAATTATACAATGCAATCTCCCAAATTCCAGATCTCCTTAAAGTACAGATGCAATTTCAATGTGAACTTGCAAACCATTAATGTTTTGAATCAATCTTGTGATATGAGAAGTGCCTATAAATAGCTAATTCCATATGCTAAAAAATTGTTAGATTAATCAGCCTATATTCAAAAAGGGTGGAAAAATAATCAAAGATGAACTCAAAGCAAAAATCCTGAATGGAGAGGAATTGTCATGTACAAAAACTGGCACAGGTGATGGCAGCAGAGGTGTGCTGCTCTCTGAATGTAAAGGTCTGGCCCTATAAAAGAGCAAATAAAAGGAAAAACACAGTCTTCCCTCTCCTCAATGGCAAAGTAAAAAACTCCACAGCTCCTGGGACACAGGTACCTGAGACCATTGTCACATCTCTTATATTTTGTTCTATTACTATTTTCACCTTTAAAAGTGAAGCACATGGCATATAATTCCAAAAGGTTCAATTCAAATGAGTCAGGTGAACTATTACCACAAAGGAGCCCTCAGGACAAGTGGCTTAGGCAATGGAATATATTACATATTTGCAGATATGAGCAAAGAAGAAGGAGGAGGAAAAAAGCTTAGAAAAACATATCAGAAAAAGGAGAAAACCAATGCAGTTAAAAGTGTTGAAAAGAATAAATCAATCACCTGTTTGAGGGACTTTGCTTTACTGGATTTACCTTGAAATCTCCCCAGAGAAGCGAGACGTCGTCCTCTCTCGGGACTCCTCTTCCACTTTTTCACTTGGTCGCAGTCAGTTGAAATAGATACTTCTCCTTTTTTCTCTCTGTTTTTTTTTCCCCTGTTCCCCTCCCTGATTTTTCAATCAGATTATTTGTGTCAAAATCTGGCGGTGAAGAAACAGCCAATAAGAGGCAGAGCCCAGAAAGTATTTGCTTATCAAAACTTCCCAGGACTTTGACAACTTGAAGAGAATTCACGATGCCCAGCTTGAAGCCCTGGGGGCAGCACCCTTCACTTTTGGGGGCAGCTTTGCCTTCTGCAGGAATACTCCTCTGTCATATTGACAAAAAGCATGACACAGGAAATAATGTACTGAGCAGGCATTTGTTATTTTGTCTTTCAGTTAAAAAAAAAAAAAAAATTTAAAAAAGCCCTTAAGAAACCTGTATTTTTACAGACATTCATCCCCGCATCATATCTCTCACAAACAGACACACCATCTGTCTCACACACACACACACTCACATACTTGGGGCTCATAAACAAAACCATCAAGCACATGTGCACAGAATTATTTTATTCCAGAATGGATCTTTTATCTCTCCTATTTCCAAGGAAAAACGAATAAATACTTGCATGGTATAACCGAAGAAGACGCGTGTTAATCACCCTTCATTTTCCCAGGCATATGTGTGTGCAATCCACACATATTTTAGGCATTGCTCTATCTATATACAGCTGTATACAGGGTATAAATATAGATTTAAGAAAGCTCATTAAGCAAGCTCATTAACAACAGCTTTGCAAAAAGCTCTTCAAGAGCAATAATAAGAATTTGCACTTCTATCGCTTGCTTTCAAAAAAGGTTTGAGAACGGGTTTGCAAATGTGGAATAATTGAGTGTCAAAGTAATGGCCCAGTGGAAGGAGGGAGGATGGAGCAGGGGCAGAGTGACTGCCCCCAGGTTGTTCTCTAGCATGGCTGGGAACAGGAGCTGGAGTTTTTTCTTTTTAAAATCCTTGGGCATCACTCTTATTTGGAAACAAACAAGGAGAGCTGAAATCCCCAAATACTTGGGAGAGAGAGAATGGGAATAATTCCTTGATTCCACCTATTCTCTATTCTCACAACCCTCCTGGCTGTGCAGGTGCACAGTGGCATGAGCTGTGTGTGCCCTCAGATGTCCCCTCTCTGTGAGAGTGCAGAGATGCCTTCCAAGGAATTCATCAGAGGTAAAGTGTAAAGCAGCCGTTGTGTGCTGAGTACTGGACTGCCACCAGCAGGAAAACTCCTCTGGAGATGGAGTTTCCTGCTCCCTGTGAGCTTCCAAATGCATTTCACTGCTTCCTACAGCTCTGCTGGGTCCCTTTTCCTGCTGCAGCCCGGGGTGGGGAACACCAGGAAGGAACAACCTTTGTTCTGCCCTGGGCTCAGCGGGAGGCTGGGGCTTCCCTGGCGGAGCAGATCCAGGGACACTCGGGGCTGAGAGCAGAGGGATTCTGCAGCAGCCACAGCAGGACCTGCTGTCCCCAGTGCTGTGCCTGTGCCAGCCATGGTGGCATTGCCCCATGGCACCGGCAGGGCTGTGCAATGGGACTGATGCAACTCGAGATAGGAGCGTGGATTTCACCCGCATTGAGAAAGATTCAGATTTTGATCTTAACCCATCTGTCATAATACTGAGCATAATTAATTCTCGTTGTTTAGAGAAGTGAACAATCCCTTTTCCCCGCTCCCTCCTCCCCTCCATATTTATCTAGGCGAGTTTTGCATGAAAGAAACGTTCCCAAGGCATTGTGCTGGGGAGCTGATTTGCATCCTCTTAAACACAGGCATTTGAGGGATTACATTTCCCGCTACAAAAACAAGCATTGTAACAGAAACCCAAAATGTACATTGCAGCTTCAGGGTTTCGTATGAAGACAGTTACAGGAATTAAACAAAACAGGAAAATGACAAGCTGCTGAAAAGGACTGAGATGTAATTTTACCAAACATTGGAGCTGGCTTCTGGCAGCACCCCTGAGCACAGACTTCCCATTGACACAAAGTACAGATGGGTGCAGAATGTGCCTCTTAAACTCGAGACAGTCCAAGTAAGTCAACCACACAAAAAAGAAACCCTAGAAAAGTAGTTGTGTCAAAATATTTAAGGTCCCTTCCAGGCCACTCTAAGATTCTCTGTTCAGTAAAACCTCCCAGCCAGCAGATTTCAGAGGGCTGTGGAAAAGGAGGCTGCCTCCATCTCCAGTGTCAGTAACAGCTGGAGCAGCTCTTCTGCCTCCCCATCTCCCTCACACGGCCAGATGTAAGTGCAGACAGGCTGATCCCTGAGCTAACAGCACAGAAACTCTCATTCAGCACCAAGGTCACCACACTGCAAAGCCTGAAGGGACATGGGGACACTGCTGGGCTTTCTCCAGCTCTCACCCACTCCTTCTCCCTTTATTTGATTTCAGGGATTCCTGTGGAGCAAAAAGCTGCAGGATGGGAGTGCAGTCAGCTTGGCTTGTTGTGTTCACTGGATTTCTGTCTATGGCTTCTGTTCATCTCTCCACTGAAAGCATCATCAAAAGGTGACTTACACAAGCTGAATTATAAACCCAGAGAGCTGGAGGTGCAGTTGGAGCTGGGAGAACCTTTGAGCTGACCCCGTGTGGTCATTCTTATTTTATGTTCTTCCTGTTGATATCATTTTCCCCGTTCTCTCTTATTCAGGCTCAGCAGAGAGGGGAGAGCCACAGAGAGCTTATCTGGGCTCCCAGAGGCTTGTCCTGGCCCTGACCCACACAGGCCACAGGGGATGTAGAGAGCCCTGCTTGCACACAAGGACAGTTCAATTCTGTGTGGAATTAAATTCTGTGTGCTGCTGTGAGTGCTCACTATGTGGCACATGCTCCAGTGCACCCTAAGTAAATAGATTTTTAAGTATACAGCTCAGTAATAATAAACAGGTTAATTACAACATAACACGTCCTTTTTAGTGCAGTTGTTTCTCCTTTCAAATCCAGCAGCAAAGCCCTGCTATAGCATCCATGTTTTCTTTGTCAATTTGACTGTTACAGCAATTAAGTCCCAGTAAAATAACACGACTAATTGCTTCCAGCTCTTTTCTGAAGTTCATCTTAATTTCCACTCTTTTCTGTGGCAGATTAAACAAACATGTCTTCTGCACATCAAGAAAAAAAAAACAAAACTACCATCACTCTGTCCAGACCATAATAAATATTAATTTCCAGGCACAAGGCAGGACTAGATTAAAAATATGCTGGCTCCAAGCAACTCTTATCTCATCATGAAGCAGGACGACCCATTGCAGGTGCAGCAGGAAGGAACTATCTCAGTCCTGCAGGGATCAGAGCTAGGAAACACAAAAACTGCTGCAGAAGTTAAAAACCAACCGATCCCTCTCAGATGGGGCTCTAATCTGGTGGGTTTTTTTTTTTCTTTCACCTCGTTTCCACCTGGCAAATGTAATGCCTGTGGTTCCTGCTGGGCTCTGGGGACAATTGATGGGGACTCCAGAGTCAGACCGAGCACCCTCGGCGTGTCCCTAGCAGAGCTGCTCCTCCTTGGACAGGGAAAAACATTGAGATCCCACCAGCCTGGGGAATAAAATGCCGAGTGTTAAACCTGTTGCATTGGCACACCAAACCGAAGGCTGGAGATCCTTCCCCGTGATGATTTCCTTTCTTCCACAGGGAAAAATTAACCTTTATCTGCAAGGATGGGATGTTTGTGTCCTATGTTGCTGCATTCTAGGGGGGAAAAAACAGAAAACAAAAACAAAGACAGAATCTTTGTGCACGGTTTGGATGACTAAGTCCTGAGGGATCCAAAACCAGGAGAACGAAACGAGCTTTGCACGCTCATCAATTAAAATCAATGAGATTTGGGGCGCGTGCCCGGGGGTGCTGTCCGGGAGCCACCAGAGCCGTGTCCCGCCAGCACCGCCGCACACAGCGGCACTTCCGAGACGCCTTTTTATTTTATTTCAGCACATCCCCGCACTTTGTGCAGGATCTCCAGGTGAAACCCAAGAGAACCGAAAGAACCGGGACCGACCCCCACCCGCCGCGTCCCCTCAGGGCCGGGCCTTGTTTACCGCCCGCGCGCGGCCCCGCCCCCCGCATCACGCGACCTCCGCCGCCGCAGCGCTGACCCCGCCGAGATCCCTCCGCCGCGGGACTCCGCGGGGGCGCGGCGGCCGCAGGCCCGCCCCCCGTTCATCCCCCGCGGCGGGAACGTCCCGTGAGGCGGAAGGGGTGAACGGAACGGGGAGGGACCCGGAGAGAAGCCGAGCAGGCAGCGGAAAGCGAGGCGGTGAGGCGGGACTAGGTTGTGCGGCGGAGGGATCCGAGGGCCGAAGCGCTGTGGTGGGAGGGGGAGGCAGGGCCAAGATGGCGGCGCCCTGTGGGCCGGAGGAGCCCGGAGTGGTAAACAGCTGAGGGGAGGAGAGGGCGAGGTGAGTGCGCCGGGCCGCCCCCCGCCGCCACCGCCGCGGCGACACCGGGGACGGCCGCGGGGACGGAGAGGAGGAGGCAGAGCAGAGAGATGAGCGGCGAAGCAGGGAGAAAGGGCTGGGGGAGGAGGCGGCAGGAGAAAGGGAAGGGGTCGGGGGGATGGGGAAGGCGGGGGGTTGATGTTCCCCCTGTGTCCCCTTTCCTGCCTCCCTCTGTCCCCTTTCCTTCCTTCCAGGCAAACTTGCTCCGGGGTGCTGCCCCTACCCCCCCTGCAGGGTCCCCCCGCCAGCCAAAGCCCCCTTTTAATTCTGTGCTTTTCATTGAAAAAGGCTCAGCACCCCCATTGCAAAGGCGGAGTAGCGATTTCCAGGTTTCTCCTGCCTTGGTTATTTGCTAAGGAGGTTCCCTTGTTCGGGGTTGGGCTTTAAATAAATCAGTTGTTAGAGTCTGTCCCCTCGGTGAGGAAGGCTTTTCTCATTTCCTTGCTCCTGGGTAGGTAATGTGAAGTCAGGATGTTGTTTACTTCTACAATAAAACATTTTGCTTCCTGTTATCACAAAGAACTTAGAAGGCTGCAGTTCTGAAGTTTTCACCCTTTGTTTGCTATGGATGCAGCCTCTGTCATTGTTTTATCAGTTTAGGCAGAGCTTCTCTCCTTGCTCTTCGGCGTTGGGGTTTTTTTAATGAATCTCTTACACGGCAATGAGTGAAAGGAAGAACGTGCCTTAAAGGAATGTATGATTCAAAACCCCTGGAAATGACCCAGAAACCAGGATCAGGTTTTGTGTGCAGAACTCTTTCCAGAGCTGCTGTTTCCAGAGAACCTTCCAGTGGGTGCTAATACAGGTTTTCATTCTTTGTGTGGTCTGATCCTGCAGTTTCCTGACATTAATTTCTGGGGATAGTTGTTGGAAATCTGTCAGAATCAAAGCACTGCTGGAGTGATCCCATTAGGTGAAATAAACCCCTCTTCAATTTACATGTATGAACAACTAGAAAGTAAATCTTTGAAAACTCTGGGAGTTCTAATAATCAGTGCAAACCTTGGGAATCCATCTGCCTGCTGTTGTCTTTGCTGAGCAGCAATCAGGTGCTCTGCTTATCAGAAACAGCTGTGCCACACTGAAGCTTAAAATGAAATCAAGAGCTTAAAAGCCTTTACTCAGTAAAAAAACTGAGTAAAGGATTTTGCTTTGGTTTGTTCATTTGTTCTGGTTTTGTAGCAGCCCAGTTCACCCAGGACTACATTTGTGGGGAATTGCAGGGACTTACACCATGAAAATATAGTCAGAATATCTAATAAGTCATGAGATAAGCTTTAATTAAAATGATTTTATCTCTGGCTGTGTTTAATCCTGACACCTTAACTCTTTGTTACCTTTATGTTGACTAAAAAGTGGCATTATTAATGGATTCCCATGTGAGATACACTGGCCAACTGCAGATGTTTTGGTGTTTGGACAAATATTTGTCTTCAGTAACTATTTGTAGTTTAAAATGAATGCTGGCTCTATTTGCAGCTGGACTGCTGGGATGTTGACTTGTCCTGATTCCTGAAATTCTTCCAACTGCCAGGCACCTTCTTGTCAGCCCTGACAGGAGCTGGGGATGTGATTCAGCCTCTGTGCAAACTGAGTGGCCTGGAACACATGCAGGGTGCAAACACACACAAATATATCTTTGGAAAAGATGCCTTTTTATTTATTAGGAAGAAATTCTTCCCTTTGAGGGAGGGCAGGCCCTGGCACAGGGTGCCCAGAGAAGCTGTGGCTGCCCCTGATCCCTGGAAGTGCCCAAGGCCAGTTTGGATGGGGCTTGGAGCAGCCTGGGATAATGGAAATTATCCCTGCCCATGGCAGCATGGATGAGCTTTAAGGTCCTTTCCAACCCAAACCATTCTGGGATTCATCCATAATAAGCAAATAAAATAATCAAAGCACTTTGCAGTGATGGAAGCAGGGGAGGGCACCAGATTTTGTGGCAGTTGCAGACAGGTGTGTGTTTAAGAATGTTCCAGCTTAGTGTCTGGTATTATGTGTTCATGTCGTTTAATAAACATAATGAGCACAAGTAATGATGTTTCCTTTCTCAGCAGAAGCGTTTCTTTGAGTAGCACATTAAGACCCAGAGTAAAGTTCTTGCAGTGGTGAATTGCTGTCACTTTCCTGGGCATTATTCATGTTTTGTTTTTACTTTACAGTTTCACATCATTTGCTATTGTTCTGTGTAATGCTGGGTTCAATTCTTGGAGCAGTTTTAAAAGGCCTTGATGAATACATTAGATAGGTTGCAGTGGTTTCAAGGTTTACTGAATTGCTGCCTAACTCTGTGAATATTTTAAAAGGTTCCTCTTGGGGGCAAAAAAAGAAATGCTGCAGAGATTTAGGAGTCTCAGTCCTTGTGTTAGTGCCAAGTTTAGAGCTCTCTGATCACCTGTTTGTAGTTAAAAAGATTTCATAGCTGGGCTGACTTTCTGTGTGTAGTGTTAATTAAATTATTCTAGAAAGCCAGGGCTTGTTCTTATTTATTTATTTGCTATTAATACATGCAGTTGTGTGTGAGGAATTGCAATAATCCCTGACTCCCTTTTGTGGCTTGCTGGTTAGCCTGGCTCCTGCCAGAGGGTGAAGTGACAGCCCTTCCATGTTTGGGCTTTTTATGACATGGATTGTTTTTAAACAATTTTCCTCTGACAGAAATGTGATGAGTAGCAATTAGCAGTAGTGTATTAGCACAGCATAGAGCCCAAAGAACCTTAAATATTGCTGAATATGATTTTCTCTGTTTGGGCTTGCTGGTTTGTTTTTTTTTTTTGGTGATATTCCTGTTCCCACGTCAGTTAAGCACCTGTAACAAAGTCCAGGAGAATGTGTATAATATCAAGTTATAACTATAAATAAGGATCTAATTTAGTTATGGAATCTAATATCAGTTCTTAATATAACCAGGAAAATATTTACTATCAGAAGAAGCCAGACACCTTCTTTCTTTAAAGATGAATAAATAAATTAAAGTGATTGTATTGCCAGTTGTAGTGATCAGTTTGAAATGAGGTTTAGAGTGTTTAGAGTTATTATTTCTGGGTGGTGAAAAAGGGAATTATCAGCTGCTTGCTTTCCTATGCCACCAGTGGTTTTTCTCCCTGCTGGAACTTTTCATTCATTGCTTATGTCACTTGTATAATGGCAATGTTCAATTTAACTGTGAGGGAAATGTAAGATTGGGCATGGTTAGGAAGCATAAAATGGGCTTCAGTTTTTTGTGTGGTGAAAGGGAGGGGGTTAGGCTTAATCCTTTCATGACCAACATTTCAAAGATGTGAGTGAAAAGGGCTGCTGTGTTGTCAATCTGAATTTTTCTTTGAGCACAATTGCTGTAAAGTCCTTCTGTCCTCATTCATGGCTTTTGCCAGAGCAATACCTGGGGATGTGACCTGACCCTACCTGCCATAGAAATCAGATGGAAAAGTGTAAATCTGCAGCTTCTGGTCCTGTGGTGTTGAGATCCCCTTTCCTCTTGGGGCAGAGGGGGCAATAACCATTTACTGGCACACCCTAAATTTAACTGCTGGGGGATGAGGAGAGATAAATGCTGCTGCTGATCCCC